ATTCGAGTCAGTCTATTGGCAAGCGACGACGTTCCACAGTCAGGTAAGAATAATAATAAATAGGAAGAATGCATAAAAAGCCCCACGAGCACGTACACCTAGACTATATAGGTGATTTATAGAAGGGTTACTTCGATGGCCTTAATACTTCAAGATTATGGATGAAAAGTCTTTAATGCTTAAGCATCTATTAAAAAAAAGTTGAGAATATTGATTTATTGATATTTTGTCGTATTGAGGTCATTGGCATCATTGGCAACTCAACGTATATTCCATAGATTCTTAAAAATCGTAAACCATTATTATTATTGCCTGGCATTTTGCCGTGGAATGAATCGCGCAACGTTCTTTCTATTTTCCAGTATTCCTATTTTTCCATTCCTTTGCTTCGAGTAGTAGTAGTAGTAGTAGTAGTAGTAGTAGTAGTAGTAGTAGTAGTAGTAGTAGTAGTAGTAGTAGTAGTAGTAGTAGTAATAATAATATTATTATTTTTTTTTGCATTTTACGTAACCCACTGAAAACTTATTAGGCTTTCCCTTTAATCGTATAAGTACTTTCTCGTCGTACTCTCGATGCGCTCAGTAACAGATCTAATCCTTAAACTAAATTTTGAGTATTAAATTTGCAAAGAACGTTTGACCGCTGCCAAGACACTTTTATAAAATACAATCTTACACGACAATTTGTAGATTTTTTTACTCAATTTGTAAATATACTAATTTTCCCATTTACCTATGTACTATAATTAATAACAATATAAACAACAATAATAATAAACAATAGTTTTGTAAAAGTAATAAGTCTCGATACATTAAAATCATCAGGTATAATAATTTTATAGATGCATTAGGCTTGTGCATTCGGTTAATTCGTATTTCTCGCAAATAGCTCATGAATCGGCAACTTTAACGATATTTCTCGTTAATATTTTAAATACAAGCATCCGACTGATTCCATTCTCTAGATTCAAATGATTCAAAAATAAGGATTATCAAATTTTGCAGAACGATTTAACTAGATCGGTCGAATGCGCGCGCGAATCAAGAATTTGCATTTTTCATACACGATTAGCGCGCGTCATTGCTCCATGTAGCGTCATGACTTATGCGCACTAGGATAGTTGATATGCGGTGCAGGATGTGGTAAGTCAGCGAATAACAAGCTATCCCGCTCTCCGAATTCCCCATATTCTTTTTTAAATATTTATGCAGTGCGCAGCCACGTGAAGCGGCGTATGCCCCTAGAATGATAAAATCCAATAGTTAATCACCCGAGAGCGTAATTATCTAAGATGAAGCACTAGTCATTTAAAAGAGATTTTAATTGACTGTAATTTAACAATAATTTCAGGCTCATGGGTATGATAAAGAACGTGGAGGAGAGAATCGGCGAGCATACGGAGAAGTTGGATCATATCCAGCGACTGATGGAGCTAATGGCCGTGCGTCAGAGGGCGACGAGAGAGAGACAGAGCAGCTCGCGATTCGCCAAGCACCTCCTCGACACGCTCATCATCGTCTTCGTTGTCTTCGTTTCCCAGTACATCATGCGAGGTTGGGGTGGCAAGTCATCGTTTCTCAAAGCCAAAGAGTTGTAGTGAATTAATCTCGCGTACTATTGGGCATTGACAATCGATTAATCGATTATGCCGAGAGCGCAGCTTATTAACCATGCGAGTCAATCGTGTCCGTAATCTCGTGACCGAGGTGTCGCCTAGTCGTTGGCCAAATTTGTTAATGAAGCGCTCAACCAATACCGCGAGTCGCGTCTAATACGTGAGATGACTCGTCAGATTTAGTCCATTTTGCGAGATAGGATTTTGCGATCGCTAGGATGCTTCTCTCCCTTTGGATTTCACGAAATTTCGACTTTTTTGTCTCTCGGCTTGACTCCAAAGCAAAACATTAAGTAAACATACCTGTGGTTTTTGCTTAATTTCTAAACTAGAATACGTGCCTCTAAACTTATCTCCCCCCCCCTCCCCTACCCTCCTCCTTATTCGTTTTATTTAACGATAGCATAAGCGCGTGGGAATGACAGTGATATGTTTTTTCTTTAAAAAACAAGAAATAAAAAATAAAAACAAAACAAAAACACAAAAAAAGAAGAAGATGAAGCGTGCTCAATGTGTCGGGTTGACATTGAGTGTAAATGAAAATGAAAATCATGTGTGGATCTAACGAAAATGGTATGTGCCGAGGAGAATATAATATGCCGCCTACGTTAAATGAAATTTTCCTTTTAGCTGTTCGTTAAATGACGCCGAATCATCGTACGTTTTTCGTACTTTATTTTTTATAATGTATAATAACATTTTACAGCTATAGGGTAAGAGTGTTAGTATCTTAGTAATGTTTGTGAAGAAACGTTGAGTACAGCCGATGCGACGTACTATCTCATTTGGAGTTGATCTGAGCCATGACAAAAGTCGTAAAATTTCACAAACGCAAAATAAGAATCAGCAGCCGGTTATACAGATAACGACGACCGGTATTGGCGTTACATTTGCTTCGGATATTGTGATTCAACTCGAACGGAGTCCCAAATATTTCTTTTCTATAGTTTGTATCTAAATAAGAATACCGTGACCGTGTGTCTATAAATGAAGCATAGGATAGAACATTAAATATATTCCAGTCTTCTATGATCGTTGAGTAAAAATTCTTATTCGTCTGCGTTTTAATTGTATCGATCGATATTTTGTTATGTTATGAGTTTAACAGCAATCATACGAATATTAAGAAAGAATGGTTTTTATGAATTTGTACGTGTGTGCCGGACTCTTTCCTTTTTTTTTCTTTTTTTTCCATTCGGTAAGTGTGCAGTTTTTAAACGAATGTAAGTGTAGTGGTATGAAACTTTGAAAAGGCCAAGGCAAAAGTGAAGCGTAGCTTCCTTACTACAATCATGTAGCCATTTCCCGCCTTCTGTTTTTTTTTTGGTTTTTGTTTTTTTTTTGTTTTTTTTTTTTAATCCTTCACTTTTATATTTTATCAGAAACACCGAGCTTATATGACTAGTATATGCAATTTTGTTATGCTTGTTCAGTGAATTGTACATTTTTCGATTGTAAATAATTAGTTTGTTTCCTAATCAATTGTAAATGTGTAAACCAGGTGCTTTCTTCAGGTTAAAAATAATGAAATATAAAAATCCTGGCGGAGACTTAGTTGGAAGGGTAAGCATTTGTATAAGCAAGCTACCCAATTCTTATCATGTTGAAAAAAAGTTTTATCCAAATCGTAAAATAGTATCGTTTATTATTTTGAATTTTTACCCATTTCTTTTGATGTATTTATTATTATTATTATTATTATTATTTTTATTAATATAATTATCACTTGGATGGGATTTTTAGGGCTCGTGCGCAAGTAGATAATAAAAGTTTAATTATATGGAGTTATGAAAATGTTATTGTTAGTTTGAAAATACGATAAAAGAATGAGTACAAGTGTTGGAAAAGAACGAGAAGTACGTTTCAGTGTTACAATCATTACTGTGCACTCACAACTGCTTATAAATTTCTATGTATACACGTCTATTTACAAATGCATATTTATTTATTTTACGTTCAGTGGGCGTTTTATCCGATTAAATTTATTGATTAATGTTTTCACTATTTAATTTACAATGTAAAATTTGTTTTTTCTCTCTCGTTATAAAATATATTACAAATACAATGTTTGAAAGTATTTTTCTTTCTAAGTAAGCTTTTTATCTCTGTTGTGTTATGTTTCATAGTCGTTAGTCAAACTTTTTTTTTTTTTCTGTTTTTCTTTTTAGTCTAATTCTAACAAAAATCCACAAACATATCTAAACTAGATATGTTGTTTATTTCATAAAAATTGTTCACCATAAGTTTAAAAATAAAAAAAAAATGACAATGAATATACACGGACTTGAATATTATTGAATGGCAAATAATACTAATATTAAAACCTAAGGATTACAATTTAGAATTTAGTGTATTTCCAGGAATTTTCACAAAGCACGCTATATTATCTTTTTATACATGCCTCCTATATCCTGAAAAATTAAATTAAAATAGTCGAACAAATTCATAAGAATATACATATTTTGTGTGTGTGCGTGCGTGCGCGCGCGTCTCTTTTGTGTGCTTGCGTGCGTGCGTGCGTGCGTGCGTGCGTGTGTGTGTGCATGATATTGGCTGAGGAATGATATTTGCTTATTTGGAAAGTCACGATTCGCTTGTTTCTTTAAATGTCATCAAACTTCGTATGTTTATCTTATTGTTTTCTGAATTATGTCGTATTCCAGATCAAGTCTAATTTATCAATAAAAAGTATATTATATATACAGTATTCAAAATGAAATAAATAAATTGAAAAATATGGAAATAAGAAAGAATTGAGTGCAAAATTTTATTTGTGATACATATACATATTATTCCCATAAGGTATTATCCCATAGACGTTTTTCTTTTTCTAATTTATCACTTTTTTCTATTTTTTCTTTCTTAAAAATTTTCTTTAAAAATCATATCTCTCATCCAATACACTGAAATATTAACTATTCATCTTATAAATTTAAGTAATTTTTCTTATAACAATAGCATTATTAAGCAATAGCTGTCGGCTAGCTCATAATGAAAGTTTTTATTAAAGTATTTGGTGAATTATTCTTATGTAATAAGCCTTTTATTAGTTATCATTTAAAAGCCATTTGTGAGAACAATTCAAACATCTTTATTTGCCATCTATTGGCGGCGTCACAGTCTCATTACGCCATATAAAACAACATCCTCTTAAAAGCTCTAATATCCTTTATAAAAAATCTGTGGCGCGCGCCAATTCCAAATTAAACAACAGCTAATTGCCGCGATTTAATCATCCGATTAAAATTGTATTTATAATTAATGCAATCCCAATATTCTCGTACGCGTTATACTCAGTCGAAAACGCTCACGATCGGCCAAACTAGCAATAATCGAGCGCGTAAGATACGATTAATCAAAACGTTTAAAAGGAAGAAGATAACATTGCAGAAACAAGGATGCCGGTCACGTGCTGCTTGACGCCGATGATGGTGCGAAACGCGGTGGAGGAGCTCCAAAAGAAGCGCGAGCGCGTGCCTGTCTCTCTGCTGATTTCGCACTTCCAGCGCTGCTTGCCTGCCGATAGGCTCAACGATCAGCTCAAGGTCGAGCTGACCAAGCAGGCCGACAAGGCCGTGAAGATGGGATGGCTACTCCGCTATTCCGATCATACCTACTCCCTGTCGACATTGCGCTGGCAAGCCACCGTCGAAGAATTCGGATTCGATTGAAAAGGAGACCATATCTCGATTAGTTTATTACGGCCTGCCACACCTGCCGCCACACCTATTTCTCATTTCTTATTTACAACTGCATGGATCACTAGTTTTCTCAAATTGTAAATAAGTTTGTTAATTGTGGATTAAGAATATTCGTTAGTTGATGAAAAGAGTCAGGTGTCAAGAGACAGCTTCAAGAGCGAGTCAATCCGGAATTCAAGATTTTACTTTCACACCACAATTAACAAAGTTATTATAAGGATAATATAGACAGCAATACATTCATTGCCTACGATCCGCCCGTTCGACATGCACACTGCGGTCGGGCGTTTATACGTAAGTTCGCTGTTTTTTTTTTGTACCTCTTTTACCCTTTTATCGTGACTCGAGCACGGCATATTTGTAAAGGAACTTTGTCCCTTGGCTGCGCAACAGACGAAAATGTACAACAACAACAACAACAAAAACAAAATATGCGTACCAACAAAATTGTATCGACCTACCCGCCTAAGATCTTAATTGTTACTTGCGCAGTGGTAATACGTGTGTTTAATGTCAAATTATACGAACCATCCTCGGCTTTGTAAATTCAATTGTATAGTCAAGAATTGAAGTGAAAAAATAAATAATAATAAAAGAAACAATTAAAATAATAACTCAATGAATAAATAATTAAAGATAAAACAAAAACAAAACAAAACAAAAACAAAACAAAACAAAACAAAAACAAAACAAAAACAAAACAAAAACAAAAAAATTATAAATTATACATATAAATTATATAAATTATAAAAAAAAGTTAAATGTCTTGACTCCTTGGCACAACATCCTCTCCTCTAAGAGCTCCTGGTCGTCAAGCACGTCGATGGAGCCAGCGAGACAAGCTCCCACGGGGTGGGTGGGGGTGCGTAAGGGCGCAGGCGCGTCGAACCATGGATTTTGCGACTTGACGGCGGCTAGCGAAGGCAGTGCTCGGGTGCATCTGTTGGTGTTGGCCACGCGGGCGGAGCCGTCACGTCCAGTCCTTGACCCAGTGCTCGCGGGCATGAGGCGCTCCTGAGATCCTCATCGGGTTCGTCATGGTAACAGCGATGAGCGTCGAAAAATCGAGCCAGGCGCCAGGCCCGGGTGCCTCCGGCGCCGAGCATAGTCACCACCAGCACCACCAGCATCACCATCACCACCTCCACCACCATCACAATCTCCATCAGCAACAGCAGCGTGACGAGATGGCGACGACGGGACCGCCGTTGGCTTTCGTCACCCAGGTGCATCCGGCCAATCTAACTGCGCCGGCGGCCCAAGATTCGCCCAATTATCTCACCTATAAGAAGGCACGTCTCAAACTAGCGTCATCGCGTTTCCGCCCATCCCTATAAACCCCCGGGGGCCAATGTCCGACTGACCTTTGTTATCCCCGTTGACGATAACGGAGAATCAAAGCTGCACACTATTACCTCCATATCCGAATGCATTATTACATTATTACATTATTACATTATTACATTGTATTATTGTATTATTGTATTATTGTATCTTGGCTCCTGTTCAGGCTTTGCACTTTCGATCCGGTTCAACTTTCCGATTGATTTGCCTCAATTGTTTCCTTTATTTGCTCCGGGCCAATCACTCTTATCATTGCCATTAAAGCCTTCCGAGTAATAAAGCTTAACTTTTTCTTTTCCTCTTTTTCTTTCCGTTAGCTATATTTAATACATCATTAAAATACATTTATCTCTAAGAGTGAAATTTACCTTTTCATTTTCTTCTTCTTGGCTTTCGCGAAATTGCTTTTCATTCAAGAGTAAATATAATGAAATACCCATCAACTGGCAATGACTATCGATATTTCCATACATTATCAAGTAAAATTTTATCTTGTAAATCATTCTGCTCTATTCGATATTATACATCATTTTCAAACGCCTTTCCCATCATCATTACACGAAATATAATTTCGGTCCATATCCATCGCATCTGCGTAATAGTTATCGTCCATTTTTATAATGCTCCATTAATCGGAGCGCAAGCTTTACAATACATCCGTATTTGCCAGGTTTATTAATTTTGTTTTTTTTTTCTCTCTGTCTTAAATGATTGTCCGTATTGATAATGGGCATTATTATTGCCAGGATTAAATAATTAAATACAAATTCTTCCAATCGAGTAAAGTCAGAGTAACAAATGCTATTTGAATAATCAATTTAATAATGAAAAGGCAACGAGAGTCAATATAATTGAGTGTGTCATTTATTCATCTGACTGATACTTCTATTAACATTTTATTTTAAAATATGTTTACAATTATTCATATTCATATAAATTACTTCACTATTAGATATAATGTAAGAAGCTAATCGAGTGACTAATTGCAGCCACTATTCATAATCAATGGGTCGACACTAATTAAATGGATATTAAATATTTCTATAAAATGCTTTAGAATGCAGAAGTTATTATTATTTATTGTTCATGAATGCTACACCAATAAACGCGTGTAAGTAGGCATGAATTTAAATAACGCAAATACTTAGAAATTATTAGTATGTCTAATTAATAAAAGTTTCTACTTAAAGAATGTACAGTACTGGAACTGCTTTAATAAAGCTTTGACATGAATTTATTATAGAAAACATTGAGTAGAATTTATAGAATTTAGTAAAAAAAATTTAGAACCGAATGCAAACTAAATTTCTTGGATGTCGATTCGACATGTAAAAGTTTGATTATAGATAACGAACATATTGTTATGTACGATAACTTTGAATAAATTTTAATCTTAGACTTACTATTGTGAATTATTTAATAATTAATTTGCCATATTAACTTATATTGGACAAACGGGCGGCTAATTTTTATTTACAAACTGTAAATAATTTCGGTATAATTCAATATGATTTCAAAATTACCTTTATCTTTATCAATAATTATAATTAATTGCATTCAATGCTGTTTGTCGTTTGCAAGAAATTACATTACTGTAAGAAAGCATTTGAAACTATCGAAATTGTATGAAAATATTGAATAATCATCATAATAATGATACTTCCTAAAGTGTTTGAGTATACATTGTTGATAGATTTTTCTAGTTTCATTGTGTTTCATTTTGTTTTTGTAATTTTTTTTTTGTGGTTTTTGTTTTTGTTTTTATTTTTGTACTAAACTAATACGTATATACTTAAGGAATATAAATAAAACATATATGATTTTCATCTAAATAGATATCGTTAATATTATAGATGGAGTTGATAGTAGAAAAAATGTTGGATGAAAAAACTGGTGTACCCGTTAAAACTGTTAAAACTTTTATGACGAAAATTCCATCTATTTTCACAGGTTTGTATGGACATTTTTAATATTTCAATGTCATGTTAGTAACATTTATTTTACAATTATTAACTCTGCGATTAAAACTGCAGGAACGGATTTGATTGCCTGGATGATGAAAAATATGGACGTTGACGATCAAGGTAATTTCATTCATTCTCTTACTGATAAAAATATAAAGATTCGTAATAAGAAATAATATACTTCATTCGTTCAATCGGCTTTCCAAATTTGATTTGAAAGTTTGCCAATATTTCATTAACCATAATATTATCAGGAAACTTATTTTCACGTACATCTATTATTTGTTAAATAATAATAAAAATCTTTATCCCAACATTTGAATGTAGCAATAGCAGCGACACAATTGTTATGTATGTTTCATAGAAATCAAATGATGCATTACAAACAGCAATTTGCTTTCAATATTAATGGAGATCGATAATATTTCTTGCTTTTACTTTGTCTTCCTCTTACTTTATCTTGCTTTATCGAGTAGTTAAGCACTTGGTTGACGGGGCAGGCGAGTAATTATTAATCGGATTGATTTTGCAGAGGCTCTTCACGTCGCTCATCTAATGGCGGCACACGGTTATTTCTTTCCTATCGACGACCACAGTCTCACAGTAAGGAATGACAATACGTTTTATCGCTTTCAAACGCCATACTTTTGGCTGTCAAATTGCTGGGAGCCCGAGAATACCGATTACGGTTAGTCCTACCAATATTCCTATTAACGCGAGTCGAACGAGAAAGCGCGCGTAATTATTATAAAAATCTCCCGCTAAACATTCCTCTCCCTTTAAGATGAAAAATTTCATCGAAATGACGCGTAAAAAAAAATTTAAAGTATTTAATTTTAAATCGGGAAAATATTAGTGGCCAGAAATCACGACAATGGCGCATTAAGTCACTGATATTAACTTACTTAATATCGATCTCGCTCACAAGCTACGACAATCCTTGAGAATTTCACATTAACGACTAGCCCTGTAAGCCATCAAGTCCGTTTTCGACCCTTTTTTTACCCAACTAAAATATTACGACGAAACGTTCGAATAAGACCAGAATTCAGCGGAACTTACCAGAACGAAGTCGTCCTTGCCCATCGCTATTACCAAGGATGCACGTTTAAAATTCTTTCGCGTGTTCGCAGCTGTTTACCTCTGCAAGCGGACGATGCAGCACAAGACGCGACTCGAGCTCGCCGACTACGAGTCTGATTACTTGGCGCGGCTACAGAAGCTCTTCTCCCGCAAATGGGAGTTCATATTCATGCAGGCCGAGGCCCAGAACAAGGTTGACAAGAAACGCGACAAGCTCGAGCGCAAGGTTCTGGACAGCCAGGAGAGAGCCTTCTGGGACGTGCATCGGCCAATGGTTCGTTTACATCTCTATCTATCGCTCTTCTCGTATTTGCCCCCCCCCCCCACTCTCGCACACAATTCTAATGTTACCCTCGAGAGCTTTAGCCCTCTCCGCTTTCATGCTCATCCCGATAATTGCTCTTCGATTTCCCATCGCCGATCACATTGGCGTCCAATCCAACGAATGTTTGCTCGATTCACTTTACCCGCGATTCAAAGACTCGATCGAGCTCCCCTTATACACGCGTGCCTTCCCTCCAATCCAACTCTACCCCCGATGGGGATAGGGGGTACGGAGGCGGTCATGGTGGCGGTGGTGGTGGTGGTGGTGGTGGTGGCGGCGGTGGCG